CAATAGTTGTTGGGAAATAAGCGATGCAATTATAATTCTGTGTAGTATAAACGACTGGATTTTGAGTCGCTCACCTTTGAAATGAGGACAAAGATGGAGGGTCGATTTAATGAAGTGAAAAAAATGAAATTTAAGGAAAAAAAGAACCTGGAGATAAAGGAAGCGGCTATTTCTCGAGAGACTTACAATTAATCGTCGAGATAATGTCAATAGCCATAAACGATGATATAGCTCTTCTGTAATTGTTTATTAAAAGACCAATAAAATTTGAGAATATATAGATTAATTAATCGTTTTTAGTCACTTTGAACGGGTTGAGGTCATCGACAAGATTTTTTACAAGAATTCAGTCGTACGGGCGTGATTTCATTACGCTGTGTCAACAAACTTCAGAATTTCGATAATGTACCGTGAAGTTCAACGTTACGGTATACTACTAAATGTACCTTATCTATATCGTATAAAAGAGCTCGAATTTACGTTTTAAAATAAAATTCTTCACCTACATTATACTGTAGAATATATCCCCAAAATAAGTTTTATAAAAACCTTACAATTGCTAATTTTCTATAGGAAAAGCACCCGACTGAAACTAGAAGCAATTTATTAAGCAAAAAGCAGGTGCCTCGCATCGAATAGGCAAAATTGATAACATGCTAGTTGTTTTCAAAACGCTCATCCAACTCTAAAGTAATTAATTGGAAAGTTTCTAATCCTAGACAGACACTCGTTACATCTGTTCTGGTAAATAAGTAAACATCTACTACTTAAGAGTATCGACGAAAATCCCCTCAAATACGAATTTGTCTCATTTCGATAATCTCGCCTGTAAAATATTCCCTTCAGAAGCGATCCTATTCAGAACGTAATTCTGGTACAGAAAACTCCGATCATTAAACACGCCTCATAAATTACGCTAGAGATGGTACGGAAGAACGAGAAGAAAAAAAAACCGAATTCCCCTTTTGTATGTTGCCATGTTTTATGGAAGTTTCATACGCAAACGTTCCGAAATCCCTAAACACCTTTTAGGTTCTTCCTGTTTTTATTTCGATGGGACAATCGAGCTGTTTGTTTCTCGTTCGCCCGTCATCGCCAGAAGGAAACATTCTTTTCGAGGCACGTTTTAAAAATGAGACGTCGAAATTAACTGTGTTTACACGACGAATTGGAAAGGTACAAATGCGCTAAGACTCACAAACAATATCGAGGAAATTCCCTTCATTTTTTGAGGTATTTTAGAAGATTGATTTTTATAATAAAGGTACATTTGCATTATTGATGAAGCGTTGAATCTTGCGGTCGAAGAGTACACTTATCTTGAATACACAACAAACAACAAGAACAATAGCCCGTTATTGTCAATAACAATAATTTTCGTTGAGGTGTATGAGTTATAATTGAAAAATGTTAACACAATAATGTGATTCACTGCTGTGGAATAATTTTCTTGATGTTTACAAAAGGAAAATCCAGACGTGTGTGATTAATAATCGAGTTAATTGTTGTTTTAAACAAACTACAATCAATAAAAAAATCTGGCGTTTTGGGGTACCAAAATTAATTACCGTCACTACTTTATCTACAGTCATTAATATCTCTTTATCTATAATGAAGAAAAATGTTCGAAATGGTACTTGAAAAAAAAAAGGCGAAGGACCATTTAATACGTACATCTGCCGGATTAAATTGTTAACGAAACCAAGGGAAAAAATATACAAAACAAATTAGCAATTAAAAGTAATTACTTACGGAGCAAATTGAAAGTCACAGGAATGTTGAACCAGTCTTCAAAATAGGGAATCTGCAAAAAATAAGAGGAATGTTTAGGCCGCATAAGAAGTTGCTGGCGTAATGTAATCGAAAATCGTCGACTTTTCAGAACGTATTCATGTTCGTTTTGATTATAATGCGGTTAGACGGGAATTTATTTGGTAATAAAAATGTCTGAAATAGAATGCATGATCCTATTAAAAACTTCGAAAACCTACAATACGGGATGAAATCGATAATTTTAATAAAAATCGGAAGAAACCTCTATACATCAAATTTGTGGACCAGTTGTATACTGTCAACATTTTTCTTGCATACGCCCAAGATTCTCGCTGTCCTACTTAACATTTTCTATGAAAACTGTTGAAATATAAATGAAAACCGTCTCAGAAAGACCCAACTTACGAGTATAATTCATCATTTATCACAAATAATAATCCTACGGGGAGTAAAGATGAGAAATAGTCGGCAGAAGAACAATCATCAACACTTTGCATAGTCTACTTGGCGTAGACAAAGAAACATTACATTTTTCCAACGGGCATTTTTCACACAATCACTACACGGAGTTCGATAATGTCACACTCAACACTCGCCCTAATGATACCTAAATGCATTGATAACGATTTCGGACGCCGGTCGTTTCAAATTGTTTACTTATTTTGATAACAATTCAGATAACGTCCGCGACAGCATCGAGCAACATCACGACGCCATTTTGTATATTGTTTAACAGTGCTGCCACGCCACTTTACAGTTTTCATTTTACACACGAAGCAAAAAAGAAGATCTGTAAATATTATACAACGTTGCCATATTTATAGTTTTTTCTTTATTAGGTTTTGCATGTAAATTTTAGCAATACATTTATTCAAATTAACCAAAATAATATAAGAAATATATTGAACAAAATTTTAACAACCCATTTATTATTATGGAAAGAATTCGAATTGTAACCACTAACGGTTAGACAATACACAATACACCTTCGTATGGTGGTTGCCTAACTAGTAGTTGTTAGTAGACGTTAAAAAAAGTATTACAGATCAGGGTAATGTTGAGAATGTTATTATTACCTACTACTATAGCTGTTATGTAGCGATTTTATATTAATTAGCAAGATAAAATCAGTAATATGTGTAGAGTAATAGGTATTAAGTAAAAGGCCAGGCAAAAAATCTACATTGACAGGATGACAAGATTGACAGTTTGTTGACTAGTGTCAATATTGTCAATTAAAAAACTTAACCTCTTAAAATAAACAAACATTGTTTATATTATATTTTTTAATGAAAAAAGGATAATAAGGAAATGACAATAGTATAGAAATATACATGGTTTGTAGAAAAATTATTACATAATCAAAGGACCAGTCAAATATTGCTGTATATTCTTATATAGTCCACCATTCCTAGATGTATACTTGAAGATGTATTAAAAATTTGTTTATATATAGTACAACTGCACTTTTTGAATAATAGTTTGAGTTTTTAATTAATTGCATTTTGACTAAATGTCTCCTTATAGTTTTTTATCGGTTCTGCTTATTTCAGATAGCCAACGGTCCAGTATCGAGCTTCAAAACCAACAGAAACTTAGCTGAATAACCAAAAGTTTAAGACCTTTAGCTTGGATAACTTTTGCTGAATGGAAATGTGAACCAAGATAATTAATTTATATAATTGTTAGTATTGAAATTGTATTTACTAGAAAAAGTTGAAGTTATAATAGAATATACTCGTAGTTAATCGTTTTTGGTTGAGTAAAGAATATTTTTTTCTGTCTATTCTGGCTGTAGACTGTAACTAAGGATTTATTTTCGAATCGAAAGCCTGATGATGAACTTTTAGACGAAACTAGTTGTCTCAAACTTAATAATCCCCTATTTTGAGCAAACCTACAACTCACATACACAAATATTTATATTCCTTAAGTCGTTAGGTAATAGAATAATTCGTTCGAGCCTCTTAAACAATACAAAGCGAATTAAACAACAGCATCGAATTTCGTTTACTGTAATTAAAGAAATATCCAAAACATCCGCCTAACAAGACAACACGTGTTTCACCGGGGAGCCATATCAAAAGAGTGTAATATTAGCATAAAACATGATCCTTGTGCAACTCCCAACGGCTCGCAGACATCACAATATGATGCTTTTAGTTTAGATTAAAATTCTGTTGATAATATTTCGATAGAGTGAAATAATAAACACGGGAGTAAATGTACGTGTACGTGTAAAAATAAACTAACCAGATTTTTGAGTGTTTGATGTCCAATATGATGCAATAAACTGCCAGGAGTAATAAAATTGTACCTAATTTTTTAGTTAAATAGATAAGTAGATTAAGTATTGGTGTACTATTTCTGAAATACAACCGTTTAAAAATTATTTGGATTTTTTTTATTCGAGAAATCCCGATATTTAAAGTAGGTAGGTGCGCCCGAAGTGCGCGAAACTCCCTTGTTTCCGACCAAGTTCATTTTTCATGTAAATTTGCCGTTGACGTTTGAATAAACCGAAAAACCGACGCACGTTTACAGAGCGGGTAAACAACGCCATGAAAATTTCCAGAAACGCTTTAAATTATATTTCTTTTCAAACACAACCAATATTTGAATAATATCCCGAGATATATCGGGGTGTAATGTAACTCGGGCGCACAGGGGCGTATCTTTTCGTACGCCACTCGTATACGACCAGTAATTTCTAAAAAATTATTTGTTGTACGATTTTTTTTGTTCAATAATATAAGTACTAGTAGGTGGGTTATTAAATCATTTTTTACTGCGTTTCGAGTACGCCGCTGGGATGCAGAGAAAATTAATGAACAGTAATTTTTTACATTAAAAATAAATCCATTTAGTTAGCTAATATTCCAAGATTTTAGGAAATTAGTATCGCAACTTAACGTTGTGCGTGTGCAGTCAATTTACCTAACAATTCCTCAAAAATGAAGCGTTTAAATTAGATTTAAGTTAGAAAATGTAAGTCTTATTTTTAAACAAATTCTACAACCCTTAGTAGACTCGGCAATAACTCAAAAAATATTTAGAAACGTTCCAAAAAAATTACTATGCTCTTACCCATTATTATCATTAATCTTGATATAGTTGGAGAGTACATAAGGTGCATGTAATAAATTCTTAATCATCCGGTAGCATACGACGGCGTCGGTGAGCGTCGAGACGCCGAAAATGTTACTTCAAAGCTGTTTCTAGCGTGCTTACGATCGAATCGCTTACGATCAACTACTAATATCAATTTTTTTAATAATTTCGGTAACCAGAAAAAATTTTAGTGCTCGAAAATTGTTAGTTTTTATGGCAAGTGCAGGATTGAAAAGAACTGATTCCGGTGGGTACGAGGTTTTCTTGGAATATAGTAAGTTACTCGTTAAAAAAAATTGTTTAAATGAAAGTAGAATATTTTTTTATTGTTAATTCATTTCTTAATTCAATGAGTTTTTACGGTATTAACAAATAAATGAATGAAGTTGAATGTTTCTATTAAAAAAAAAAATGATTCTTGGGATATTTCAAAAATTCTATCAACATAAAGCGCACTATATACCTTTAGTTTAATTAAATATTAGACAATACATTAGATACTGGAGGGATATTTAATTCGTTTTAAAGAAATATTTGATTTTTGTATTTCTCTAACAACACCAAACATGTGGGCTAACTAAAACAAACGGATCTCGCGCTCATTTTCTAAATCTATCACTCAATGTAAACGAGTAAACACTTTTTATTGGCGTCGATCGCCCGACCGCCCGAAAGGCGGTGGCGTTTTAATTAAATTTCTTATTAGTTCGCGGCTAGGCAAATACACGAATTATTTAATTCGATTATTTTCACGATACGCCGTACAAATATACCTACAGCAACTATTTCGTTTCCACAGAACAGCCGAATATAATGAATTGCGTGGAAATCGCCGCCACTTTGGGCTCGATCATCTTGCTCATCGTCACCCTGCCGTTCTCTTTGTTTTGGTGCTTCAAGGTAATTTCGAATAATTTACTTTAAATAAAAAATTAATAACAAATCGTGCACGATTTCAGGTCGTGCAGGAATACGAAAGGGCCGTTATATTCCGGCTGGGACGAGTGCGAAAAGGGGGCGCCCGAGGACCGGGGATATTTTTTGTACTACCCTGTTTGGATAGCTACGCCAAAGTGGATTTGAGGACGATCTCATTCGACGTCCCACCGCAAGAGGTAAATAAAATTCCTCACCCTTTAAACCCTTTGCAAGTTCCTCGCCCAAATTGATTCGCTTCACCAAGAGTTAGTTTAATCCCAACAAAACGTTGATATCGTGCAATCTTTCTTCTATACAGGCCCTAACAAAAGATTCCGTAACGGTAACAGTAGACGCCGTGGTATATTACCGAATCCAAGACCCGCTCAACGCCGTCGTGAAAGTCACAAATTACAGGTAAATCCTCGACTAAATCACAAGCATAAATTAAACGAATTTGCCGAGCAGCAACTCGACCAGGCTGCTGGCCATGACGACGCTGCGCAACATCCTCGGCACGAAGAGCCTGGCCGAGATCCTCTCCGACCGGGAGGCCATCTCGCACGCCATGCAAACCTCGCTGGACGTCGCGACGGACCCGTGGGGCGTCAAGGTGGAACGGGTGGAGATGTACGCGATCCAACGCGTTGATTATCCAGTTGATTTTATCGCCCGTTTGGTTTTCCAGAAAGGACGTGAGCCTGCCGCAGCAGCTCCAAAGAGCCATGGCGGCCGAAGCGGAGGCTTCCAGAGAGGCCAGAGCCAAAGTCGTCGCGGCCGAGGGCGAGATGAAAGCTTCGAGGGCTCTGAGGGAGGCTTCCGATGTTATTAACGAAAGTCCTGTCGCTTTACAGGTGAGTGTTGTTTTCTCTCTAGTTTTAGTGTCTCTCTAGTTTTAATGTTTTCTCTCTAGTTTGTAGCGTTTTTTCTCTAGTTTTTAGTGCTTTCTCTCTAGTTTTAATGTTTTCTTTCAAGTTTTTAGTGTTTTCTCTCTAGTTTTAGTGTTTTCTCTCTAGTTTTATCGAAATGCAATCGTTGCACTTGGAGAGGTCTAATGTGTGATATGTTTCAGCTGAGATATTTGCAAACATTGAGTACGATTTCGGCGGAGAAGAATTCTACTATAGTGTTCCCGTTACCTATCGATTTGATCAGTTATTTTATGAACAAGTTTTCTAATCAAACTGATAACGATAGGTCGAATAAGGCGGCTTCCAGAGTGTCAAATGCTTGAGATGTTTAAACGAAAATTGCATTGTCTCGCTCCTCCGCCAAAATTTGTAAAGCTTTTGTGTTTGTATCATCCAATAAAGTTGCGGTACTAATTGATTAGTTCGTTTGATTAACCGAATTTTTCGCCGAGCCGCGCGCGTTGTACATCAAAGTCGCCTCGATTGCCATAAAGTAATAATCCACTTGCGATTCAATGAAGGCGCTCGCCGACGAGGCATTAATCACCTGGCTCCCGCCCGGATCGGCGGAAACCAAACAACTTTTTTCGGCGCCGAGAAAAATCCAACCTGGATATATCCTAAGCGGAGACGGTTCCCCGTGTATTCGGCGAAAACGGGCGCGGACAAATGAGCGTTACCGCGTTTGATTTATTCGAAGAAAATGTCGCGTTATTTCCATCTGTTACGCCCGGGACGGACGCGACCGATCAATTGCAAATTATCAAATTGGAATTTCAGATGAGCATTGTATATTTGATTTGTCGCTGAGCACGATGTAAACTTCACGGACGGGAACGTTTATTTATTCACCCATCAATAATTCAACGATGGATTTTTAATGTACTAATCCAGATAATAATTTCGAACGGGCTTCGTTACTTTCTACTCTCTACTGTTTACTCTCTACTTTAAGTTCCTTTGAACGTAAACTATGGCAATTTTTCACGCGACTCGCTTAATTGCCGGGTTAACAGCGTTAATTAAAAGTAACGTCTGTGCAGATGTACCTGCTAATGCATCGGCCGACGACAGTGGAAGTTAAATCGCGGGTATTAGAAAAGTTTCGGGCGCGAAAATCCCTGAACAATGAAGATGTTCGAAACGAACGGTTTTTGATTAATGCGCAATACAAATGAAAAACTTTCCGCTTGGAAATCTCGCGATTAACAACGAACGCAAAATTATCTGTAGGCGATAAAAAGAGCGAATTAGGCGCGATGCTTTAATGAACTAATCGCGACAGGCGATCGTCTAGCGCCTTGATAGGTTTCGCATGAGCGGGAGAATCGAGGCGTTTTCCGAGCGAGCTGCTCCGGCCGGAATTTTCCGGAACAATATTGACTATAACAAGGACGGGGGCTTTTAAACGGAGCGGTCCGGGTCGGAAAGGTAATAACTCGGCTTCTCTGGGGCGCCGTTCATTTTCAGTCAAGCAGAGAAGATGACAGGAAACTCTATTGGCTAATAAGTTATAGCTTGTTGCACCGCATCGCCGGACTGGCGAACTTTTCCAAACGAAACCGGAGAGTTTGCTTAAGGAGTGAATATCGAGTGAATCGTGCCGGGTTGAAAATTCAAAAACTAATAAGAGAGTTTTTAATTTCAGTCGATTTTTTATTCAGTTTTATAGTTATTGAGATGATATACCGAACTACTTAGATAATAACTAAATTATGAACGACGTTTTAATTTTTTATGAGGTATAAAAGTAGGTGAAAAAAGTTATTATTGTAATATGCATCGATGGCGAATAATTTATGCTCTATCGAACGTTAAGGCGGTTCGGATCGCTCGCTTCTATATTACATTTTTAGGTTTTTATGGATCCATTAGACATAAAACGGGAATAAATCAAGTCGAAATAATCTCCGCGCTAAGAACGAAAATATAATGCGAAATTGAGCCGGAAAGGGCTCTAATAAAAGGCACCTGGCCCGTTTTCGGCGGTAAGACATCAGCTGCAGCCGGACGGGGACTTTCGTGCCATCGAAAAATCGCACTAATAAATGTATAAACGGGAAAACTCGCTGATGGGGAATTCGAGGAATCTATTCGCTCGTAGCTCATCGTCGCGTGATGGATTCTGCCGGGGTTTCGTTAAATTCGGGATGACTTTATTGAAGTCTATACGTCGACATGTGTCGTCTCGATAGCGTTTTGGATGTGTCTAGGAATATATTGCACCGGGCGGGGACGCGTCATTCAAAACCTACATGTAGATAACACGAATATGAATCAATAAACTTCGTCGGGTTTCGCTGGAAAATTCGAAAATTCGATAACGACCGAGCGAAAAATGCAGATGTAGTTTTACTTTCGCCGAGTGTGACGTTGGCGGCGTGTAATTGAAATTTTCAAAACGGTTCATTTTATGGTCAATAAATTCCGCATTAGAAAACGTGATATGGCAATTTTCATTCGGGAAAAATAATCCCATCACAGCCGAACGGGCGTTTCCACATTAAATCGCTTTCCGGGCCACGAGAGTTTTTATTGTTATAATTTTTTATTTCGTTTGGCTTGTCGGGAAAATACAAATCCGAATATTACTTTGAATTATGCTCTCGCGTTTTCGCTCAAATTGGGACATTCGCCGCGAATAGAACGACACTTTTCTTCATCACACCGACTATAGTTTTTTCACAAAAAAAAAACTTTTATATCCATAAATTGTTAAAAAAAAAACAACCTACTGTATCTTTCGAGATCCATCTTCATCCAACTCACATAAGCGCGCATACATAAAACAAGTTATTCTTCAGATGAGGCGAGCGAGGGGCTCGCAATCCGCCGAGCAATCCTCGACAGACCGGCGGCTTGATATAGTATTTAATAATGCACGAGTGCCACTACAGGCGCTAGATATTAAGTGTTGCCGGGGCTTCTATTAAGCCCGGCCCTGCAACGCGAGAGTAAAGTATTGCTACTGCATAATAAGTGTTTCGGGCTTAGCATTACGCGATTCCGGAGGCGGGCGCGCCTCCAGGACAGGGACCCGAATCTCCTGCCAGACGCGATCGCTATTTCAACATTCCGACCTGCAAGCCAGACCTCCCGCAGGAGCGTCTTGGAGCTCCTGCCGGTCGAGGTGACACACGCCGGCGTTACCCAAGACTTGATTAAAATTTACAAACAAATTATGATAGTTGTTGGCGCCGACCTCTCGTCATTCCGGCTCGGAATCTAATAGTAACACGGTCGCTAGCAATTAAGGAACTCTCTAAATATTCCTGACTGCTAGTTGGGCTTCAATTATTGCCGCTGAGCGTCCGGAATATGGCTCGAGTTTCCGAAACTCGGTGTCCGTTTCGCTTTATAATAAAACTGTACAGGTCTACGACAAATGTATGTAAACGATTTCGTTAGATACTCAAGCACAAATATTGTCTATCAATTCCTCTACAACTCTCTAATATTTTCTCGAGCTCGCGCAGCGTTGCTACAGCGCGCAATTCGAGATCAATCTCGCGCCCATTTCATTTCCGAAGCCGAGGTCCCTCGGGCCGTGCAATCTCTTAGTTAATTTGAGTGCATTTCGGCCCGACTAACCGACTCATCGCCTTCCATATCTCTTTGATCCATCTTACGCAACCGCTCCGGCGATCGATGTTCCCGCATTAATCCGCTCCAACTTTAAGTACGCTCACTTTTCCGGGCGCACACTCTAAAAGTTCTCCGGCTCTCAGCCGGGGAGGCCGCCCGAACTTCAGTAGCGCCCGGGAAATGAAGAATCCCGCGCGGCAAATCGCCGATGAACTTCGCATATAACGAGGCTATCGGTTTGGATCTTCGCTGGTTGTTTCGAAACAAACCGTCCATTTTTCTTAATCCCCTCGGAGATGAATTCGAGCGCCTCGTTTTTGCCTCGCAATGGAGAAAGAACGAACGCCCGAATTCGATGGAACAAACGGAATTATGCGAATGAAACAGCTGTTGTCGTTGTCGAGATTTATCGTCCCGCGATCGGGGAACTTCTGGGAGCCGACGGAAGCATTGTTCAGGTGTACTTCCGTCGAGTTGACAACTCTAATTACGGGACGTCGTGCCTAATGGGCGCCGAAAGGGAACGGGGGAAGATAAAGGCTTCGCTGGATGTTAGCCGGTTTGATCGCTCGTTCGAGAGTATTTTTGTGGTGTTTCCGAATACGTTTTGGTATCGGTTATTGCATCCTCGAACTCATTTCCGAACTGTAATAAACGCGCAGGTACGAACGTTCGTGATTAATTTCCCGATACGTCTTGTACAAACATAATAGCGCTCTCGTCACATAGGGCGTATACCCGCGCCCTTATTTCCTCGACAAGCTTATCTATTAGGATTTGAATACCAAATACGTAATAACGTTTGCGAAGATGCCAAGCAGAGGGATACTTCCTATACAAAGCACAAATAAATACAACCGCAAATTCGGATATTGTGGAGCGATGGTGCAATAGAAAACTAAGAGGTCCATAACTCCTTTTTAGGAGCATTAGGGGTGATCTGCCGGACAATCTCGACTAATACTCCCGCACCTGCGGTAGTATATTCCGGTTAACAATCGGGGCAACGAATAAAATTGCCTCACCTTTCCAATTTGCGCTGAATTTACCGTCTTCGGGACGTCGACGACGGCGCTCGAGGAGTCCAGTTCCCGCGAATCTAATCGAATCAAACGGACCGTTCGAAAAAGGATTAGTGAATGGGTTACGACTCCTGGACGTCCAGAGGAACTGCGGGACAATTCCATTCTTTATCGAGCGATCATTCATTAAGTCTGTAGGAACTTACTCTCTACTCTGTGCACTTTCAAAAAAGGATTATTAGATTTCCGCAAAGTACCGTTCCTTGTCAAACTGTTTGGATTCCTCTCGGTGCTTATCAATTCTGCGAAATTGTATCAGTCTCCGCGTTCGCGTTGAACGTCGAATGGAAATCGAAATCCCGGTTTCCAGGCGAATTGTATAAACAGATTATCGGTTGCAGCTGCTTAAACAAGGCTTCCTAATACTTTATGTAAATAATTTTCGCCCCGCCAAGACCTGATCCGCCGTCTGAATTACCTACTCGATTCCTGTCGTCGAGTTGTCGAATATACGGGGTTTTTTTTTTGGAATATTAAATGCGCGATTAGGCGTAGAAAAAGTAAACGTATAAATTGAAGCGCCAGATGATGGCGGTCGCGAAACTCTCCTGCACATCCTGCGGGCCATAAACACAAAGCCCGACACACATATCCCCGTCCCCAAAGGAGATTCAACAACGCCGAGTAAGCGCCATCTCTCGACGATACACCGGCGAAACGCTTTTATTACTTATCTTAAAACTGCGAAACTCTCTAATAAACTAAAAGTTAAGACGGGGGAACTTTTAATATTACCTTCATATA